TCCTAGTACCATTAGCCTTAGTACTACTAGTACTACGAGTACTACTGGGATTAGTACTATTAGTATTACTAGTACTACTAGTACTACTAGTGCTACTAGTACTACTAGTACTACTAGTACTGCTAGTACTACTAGTATTTTTAGTACTAGTACTACTAATACTACTAGTACTAGTAGTATTATTAGTAGTAGTAGTAGTAGTAGTAGTAGGAGTAGTAGTAGTAGTAGTGGTAATAGTAGTAGTAGTACTAGTAGTAGTTGTAGTAGTAGTAGTAGTAGTAGTAGTAGTGGTATTTGTGGTGGTAGTGGTAGTGGTAGTGGTACTGGTAGTGGCAGGAGTAGTAGTAGTAGCAGTAGTTGTAGTTGTAGTTGTAGTAGTAGTAGTAGTAGTAGTAGTACTACTACTACTACTGCTACTACTACTACTACTACTACTTCGGCTACTACTACTACTACTACTACTACTACTACTCCTGCTACTACTACTACTACTACTACTACTAGTACTAGGAGTGCGAGTAGGAGTAGGAGTAGTAACAGCAGCAGCAGTAGCAGCAGCAGCAGCAGCTGCTGAAGAGACGGTTGTGGTTGTCGTTGTTGTTGTTGTTGTTGTAAGTGGTGGTGGTGGTGGCGGTGGTGGTGTTGGTGCGAGCCACATTGGCAGGTTCCGGGGACTCTGTGGAAGTACGCCGGGTACGGCGCAACATGAGCCCAGACCCTGGCGTCAACATTTCCTTGATCTTCGCCGTGGACTCGACGGGCATCAACAACGGTGTATGGCTTCTGACGCGTTCCTTCATGGTATTTTGTTGCGTTGTTCGGCAGTTTTCTCGGTATCTTAATTTCGCTTGGCCGCGAGCGTTACAAGAGGTCTTAGGGTTTCCGAAGTCTGCTAGAGGCCTTGCACCAGAATACAAAGGGTTTGGGTGATACAAGAGTACCTCGCGAAGAGCAAGCGTAGTTGGTTTCCAGCAGCATGATGCTCAGCAGCGGATGACAGCAACAGCTGCAACACCAAAGCTAAGCATGATGGCCTGGCAGCAGCAAGAACAACAATGGTAATTAGTAGCCATTGTCATTCATGTGCAGGTAGCAGTTCGCCGTCGCAGTGAAGCCCTGTCGTACCACTTTCATTATTCTTCCTAAGATAGTGTAGTAGTAGGAGTAGTAGCAGTGGTAGTAGCAGTATCGAAGAGTAGCAGCAATAGGAGGAGGAGCGGGGGTAGAAGTGGAAGTAGGAGAGGTAGCGGTAGCGGTGGTCAGAAGCAGCTGCAGTAGCCGTAGTAGCCGTAGTAGCCGTAGTGGCAGCAGTAGCAGCAGTAGTAGCA